ACACACATACACACACACACCTTTCTGTCTGTCTACATATATACATTTGAACTCAGTGTCTTCACTTTAAACTTGAACATAAATCTCTCTGTTTAACTGACTATCTCTTTCTGATGGGACAGAGCCAACAGTAGCAGTCTACATCCCCCCACAGCTGCACACTGACCCATATAAAGAAATCACTCTGGTGTGTCTGGTCACCAGTACTGTGAATGAGACATATAAAATCGAATGGTCAGAAATGTTTGGAAAGTCACAAGGACCTTATACTACAGCCACCGACGTCCCTGCACAGAAGAGCAAAAATGACCAGAAATGGCGAAGTATGAGTCTTTACACCACCAGTAAGGCAAACTGGGACAAAAAAGATCCAACCAAAGTGTTCACCTGCCGTGTCGGAGTCGGACCTAAACATATTTTAAAAACAGTGTCCAGTGTCCATGGTAATTCCATAGAATGTGACCGCTAACTACTAAGCTTTAAATGTGATATTTTGTGCTTGTGTCATTCTTTGTTTGTGAGAGTTTTCTATATGAAAACCTGTGCACTTGTGATGTCAGTCACTGAGACAAAATGTTTGTTTTGTTTTCATCATGCTGTTGTTCAGCCTGTGTGAGTCACAGTGTCCAGTTGCTTTTATGTGTGCTGTCTGTTTGAAATAAACGTTGCATGGAAACTCTTTGGTATATGTGTAGATGAATAGCTTGAAACAACATCAAAAAGCAGACATACACATAAAACTGTTCCTTTTTTCACTTTTCCATTAACACTAGTAACAAAGAGGAAAATCACATTACCCTAATAAACAAATAAAAACAGATGCACATAGATCTCCTCTAACCAAGTGTAATGTATCTTCCACTTCTTAGATGATTTTTGTGATCTGAGTTGGGACGATATCACCGCTGAAGACGATTTTGGCAGCCTGTGGTCCACAGCTTCCTCCTTCATATTCCTTTTCATATTCTCTCTCTTCTATAGCATTATTATCAGCCTTCTGAAGGTAAACATGCAATTTACATTTTCTGCATTTCAGTTTAATTGAAGTCTGTGAGTTGTAATGTAGGATAAACCCAATCACAAGAAAATGCAGTAAATGGGAACTCTAAAGAGCACTTAAATATCTTTTTTTTTTAATCAGGAATTTTTATGTTCTGTTTGCACTTGAAAAGCACACCTTTTCTAATGTAAATTATACAATTATTTAGCTTCTTAAAGAATTTTAAAAAAGACATTCGTTTATTTGAGAAAATTATAGCCTTTAATTTCCATAATATAATCTTCCAAAACTATCTCCTGGAATAAATAACATTGATGTAAATTTAAATTGCGTAAATGGGTAAAATAAAAATTGAAATTGCTCTTATTAGGAGACTTTTTTAAACTTTCTGATGTTTTCTTTTTGCAGATAAAGAGATCATAACAAATGGGATGGAATGGGTGCGCTTCATTTCTACGCTATTTTTAAAATATGTTTTTCATTTTCTTTTTATGCACATAATCATTTATTTGTTATATTAAATGCCTGTCATATATAAATAGTCAATTAACACATCTGTAAAATGTGTAAAATAGATCAATAAAATGAAACTGCATATTATACTGCATTCTGATATTGATATGACTATTTTTCTGCTATGGATTCTGTTGTTACTTTAATTCTCAGTAAACAACCATATGAACTGCTCAAGGAAATTAAACAAAAAACAAAAAGAAGAAACACTACAATGGTCATTTCAATTCTGTAAATACTTCATTACATTACAGTTAGATTAATAAGATTCAGTAAGAAATATTTGGCACCTAAAATATTAAACAGAATATGAATGTGAGGATGTAATAAATATCGAAAGCAATTTTGATGTTGCTCTATTATTTCTCAAAGTTTCTAAGAATAGCACAACAACATCTGAAGTCAATGTACCGTAAACCTATGTTATCAGTTAGACCTTTGAGGTTTTGAGTTTCCTGGTGCACCCCTGGGGCCAAACCTGCACAATTACAACTGTGCACCAACCATTACGACCGTGAATGAATTTCCCTGAAAAACAACATACTCATCTGGCAGCTTACTGTATATTTACATATCCATAGCATATTTGATTCACACTTACAAATTTCTGTTATCAGTTAAGGCATGATAGTTTTCAGTTTCTAAAAACAGTCTTTATAGAGTTGCTTCTCTGCATCTTTAGGGTGACATCTGCATCGTGGGATGAAGGCCGAGAAACGTAATTATTGATGAATAATCAGAAAGCTGTAGACACCTTAGACACCAAGTGAAGACAAAGTAGTTGTTTCTAATATACTTTTCACATAAGGTCTACTCAAGGGACAACTCGTATTCAATTTCTAATGACATATTTACGCTACTCAAACACAAATGGACCCAAGTGAATGGAGTCACGGAGTAAGAGCTGAGAACCATAAGGTGAAAGAAGCATGTATTTACATGTGTTACTAAAAAACAATTTCAACCTAAATTTCTTGGTCATATAGTCTAGAGGGTGTTTAAGTAATTGTAACCCTAACCCTTTTTAAGATACCAAGGCAAAGGCAAAAAGATGTCATTAGTGTTGATAATAGATACTCCAGTAATGAAATGTTGAAAACTTCTGCTGATTGTTTTCTATCAAAGTTGGAATTAACAGGAGGCTCTAAAAAGAGGACGCTGGCAAGATGCATAATTTTACAAAAGCCAAAACAGAGGAAACTGATCTCCCAAAGGAAACTGCTAATAAATGGCACAGAGGGAACTGCTTTTTCAGAGAAACATGTACACTTCCTTTATTTAAGTTAATAAGTGTTTATATTAGATCAGATTGTAACAGATCACTGTGACAGCTATGGCTATGCTAGCTACTTTGACTACAGGGGGAAAGGAACACAAGTCACAATAACCTTTGGTAAATAACAATCCGATCTATTTTGAGTGAGAACAAGTCTACATTTGACAGGTTGATATGAAATTGAATCTTTGTTATACTTTATGCTTAATTTGACATGTAAGGAAAAATAAAACATCTGTGTAAATGACAGGTTTATTTATTATTTATCAGTTTAGTGTAATCATATATAAGACGACAAAATATTTTTGCACACATTTTTTTTTCTTTCTATGAAAGATTTTGTTGGATTTATTGAGATATTACACTGTAATTCTGCTTTGATTAATGGGGAAAAGGAACAATGGTCACCATCACAACAGGTAAGACAAGCTTTCTGTGTTTATATTGTTCATATTGAAAATGTTTAACTTTCACAGTTTATTTTGACACATTTAGAACTTCAGCGTGGTTGTTTTTTGTATGTTGCATATTTTTGAGATTTTATACTAGACACTGTTTTGGACTACTGGGGATAAGCCACAACCAGGTAAAGTGATCTAATTTCTTTTTCTTTAATGTTGACATTTAAGTTCATAAACACTGTGAAAACCATGCAGTGCTTTAATTTCTAGCGCATCACAAGTCTACAATCTGTAGCCATAATTTTAACTCTGGTGATTAAAAACTTTGTGACCTTTAATTTAATTGAAACATAACTATGTAAACAATTATTAAGTTTAGAGTGGTTCTAATTATTTCCGAAGTCAGAAAAACAAAGTAATTTCTAGAACTAAATTCTAGACCTTATACTACAGCCACCGACGACCCTGCACAGCAGAGCAAAAATGACCAGAAATGGCGAAGTATGAGTCTTTACACCACCAGTAAGGAAAACTGGAACAAAAAAGATCCAACCAAAGAGTTCACCTGCCGTGTCGGAGTCGGACCTAAACATATTTTTAAAACAGTGTTCAGTGCCCATGGTAATTCCATAGAATGTGACTGTAACTACTAAGCTTTAAATGTGATATTTTGTGCTTGTGTCATTCTTTGTCTGTGAGAGTTTTCTATATGAAAACCTGTGTACTTGTGATGTCAGT